AATAAGCAGACTTTATTGCTTTATCGATACTTGTTTCTAATAAATTAGTTTCATCTATATTTGTATTTTGTTTTTCTGATTCATTTTCTAACTTTTCTATATGCTTTTTTAGATTAGTTATTTGTTGATTAAGACTATAAATCTTTTTTTTACTTTTTCTATATTCTATCATCAATATTTGGGTATCTTCTTTGGATAAGGATTTATCTTGTTTTTCAAATATTATGCTCTCTTTTATTAGAATTTCAGTTGCCAATAAAGAATTATCTAATATTATACTTAATTTTGCACCTTTTCTTTTTAAACTAGTTTTCAGCTGAGTTTTATTTTTTACTGCATTTATTACTTTCAGATTATCAGAAAAAAGGCCATAATAATTTTTTGCAACAGCTGCTTGTAAAAAAGTAATGTTTTGATTATCCAAGAATCTAAGCAAATATGGTAAGGGCAGTGTTATTTATTACCTGATTTTTTTTTTATTAGAGGCATACCCCCCTCCCCTTCTTTAACCCTGAATAAATAAAGTTCGGTCACTGTCACTGCTGGTGATAAACAGATTATTTTTGTAACTATATATATTATTATTATGCTTCAACTTATTGAGAGTTCGTCAGTTTCAAGTTCGAAATAGATTTATTAGAATATAATAAAAAAGAAAATCAAATTAGTTTTATCATTGAGAGATTTTAGAATTAAAATGTGGGAATCTAATTTTGATAAAAATAGATGACGTACGTACGTACAGTATTTGTTTTAAGTAAAGGATATTAATTTTATTTCATTTTCCAGTCAATTTGAATTAATGTTCTTCGTTATTGGAAAAAAATTATTAATTTCATGAAATGGGGTCTTCATTCCCATTTCATTTTCCGATTTTAAGAATGTGGAAATTCTGCTTAGAGCAATTTTGAAAACGGCAGTAAAGTAAAACTACGCCAGAACTTGTCTTAATTAAATGGAGATTTTCAGTATCTTACAATGGAGAGTTTCAAAATTAATAAATAAGTGGCGCATTTCGAAAATAAGTATATAGTTTAGTATATGTTTAATTTAATTTATATACATCGTTATTACCAGGCCTGGAATAATAAGATACGTGCATGCAAGTGTGTAAATAAACCAAAGGTAATTACCATTAAAGTTCAAAAGAGCGTTAAACACTCCTATATGTGATCATTTTGCATCAAAAGAATTTCTTAATGCATAATCAATTTTGTTAGGCTAATTTAGTAGTTGCATGTATCGAAATATTTATAACAATGATTTTTGAATTTTAAGAAATTATCGTTATTGTCCCTGAAACCCTTATAAAACTTATAAAACGAGTACACATAAGCACAGATTAAGTATTTTGTTTGATACGTAAAAAAAACTTTTAATATTCTCAAAAAGTTAATAAAAGATCATTTTTATAATAAAATTTACATAGTTTTGTTCTCAAAAATGATAAATTTTAATTATTTTATTCTCAAAATTATTAAATGTTCTTAATAATGCTAAGAACATTAGATATTTAGGAACAAATATATACTTCTATATTAATTAATTGATACCTAGACGTTATATTGTTTAAAATTTCTAAAATTTCTTGAATAGCGGAATTCCTAAATTTTCCTATTAGACATGTTATTACGTAGTAAAATATTTTTTGGTTAAATCAAAATTATATATATACTGTAATACAGTACGTATACAGTACATAATTTATATATTCTTATTATACGTATATATATATATATATATATATGTATATATATATATATATTTATTTATTTATTTATACGTATATACTATATATATATATATATATATTTATTAACTATATTTATCGTTATGACATGGATGAATTTGGTTAGCGGAATGCCATATGGCATGTATCTCCAATAATGTTCTTTAAAACGTGCACATTTAAGCCTGTACGTGCGTATGTACATTAACCAAATATATAATGGTTTAAATATTTTTGGTAAGCATTGATTACTGTCTAATTGTTTGTGTAAATCTTTGAATTTATTAAATATAGTTTAATTTAAAGATCATTTATTTTATTTCTTGCCAATAAAAAAAGTTTTTCTAAATCACGATGTTATCTTATTTCGTTTTGGTTAAAATGAAGTTTTAATTTCGATGAGATGAATGTTTTTATCATTCATTGTCTGTTTGACACACCCAACAATGGCCTTTATGGATACATCTATATTTGCCAAAATATTTGTAATACGTAAACTATTGCTTTTGGGTATTAACTTTACCAGGGAATATCATCAATAATCCTATTGCCGATTATATTATGATTTTTTTTATCACAAATGTTATTTAAATCAAAAATGATCTTAACATATGATAATCTCTAGTCATGAAATATTCATGAAATATTCATTTATTGAACAATAATGAGTAATAATTACATTTTCTCTATCTTTTTTTAATTAATATATTTTATGACATTGTGTATAGAAGAAAGTCTTAAGATTACCTTATTTCCGTGTCTTAGTTGTAAAAAGATTCACCAAGTATAGTTTAAACGTGAATCAATTAAATTTATACTGTAATTCAAAATTTATCTGGTTCATTTCTAAAAGATAATTCATACAAGTAATTAATTTTGTAAGATTTTCACTTTTTATGTTCAAATTGTCTTGAGAATTTTATTGATATTTTGATCACGTAATCCAACTCGAAAAAAAAAAAAAAAGTAGAATTATACAAAATATCTAAAATTACAGTTTACATTATGTAATCAATTTAAATTAGAAAAAAAAATTATTACAATTACTACGAGAATTCAATTGCTCGAGTATATTGCATTTAAAATAAATAAATGTATTTATGAGAAAGTTGGAATTAATAATGTTTAATAATTAATCACCATGGTAAAGATTCTTTGCGCTTGACCGGATTAATAATATTCGGTGACAAATTTTCTGAAGAATAAGACTCACCAGGCATACTATCAAATGATTCACCACTTGGTCTTCCTGGTGGTAATGTAGCAGAACGAATGACAGTTGGCATCGAATCAATCGATATCAACGAATCTACTGTAATTTTAAGATTACGCCGTCTGTTAATTTTACTCTCTTCATGATGTAGTAGTGCACAATCTGTGAATATACATATATAATTTTAAATTAGTCATTATTTTAAATTCGAAAATATATATATATATATATATATATATATGAAATACCTTGCAAATGTGATTTTAAATTCATTGAATATGAATAATCCAGTGCTGTCCACCCAGAATTGTTTTTAACAGCAAATTGGCATCCACGTTCAATTAATATGGTAACAGCCTTTAATAAAATTTAATAACAATTATATTCAATTATTTTAAAGGTTATTTAAAGGTTATTCAAACCAGTAAATAATAATAAATTTTTTTTTATAAATAAAAATTATTTACATCGAATCGTTCCCAAGCTGCTGCACTATTATAATAGAAAAAAATTATTAAATCAATTCATTCATTCAATATTATTCAACATTATTCAACATTATTCAAAAAAACAACTTACTAATGCAATGCTGTATTCCCTTCAAAATCAGTTTGATTAATGTCAGCCCCGTTTTCAAGTAAGAGCTAGACATATTGGAATTAGTACAATTGACAGTATATATAGCATGTGAAAAAATAAGATATATCAATAACCAACTTTGATAGGATCAAGGTTGCCGTATTTTGATGCATAAATTAATGCTGTTTGTCCTTGTTTATTGACCATATTAACACTATTCGGAAAAACCGTTATATACATTTTCATTATCTATATCCAAAAAAGTAAATATATTTTTTTTTAAAAAATGTAGAAAACTTTTATAAAAGAATATATGAATCATTATTCTTACTTCTATGAAATTATATTGTGAGGCAACCATCAATATCGTATTATTATCAAAATCCTTTATAAAAAATCGAAACAATTAATTAGAAAATGACCAGAGCCATAAAAAATAAGTAATATTAAGAAACAGACCAACCTACTCTAGAGAGCTCAATCTCTTCGTGTCCGTTATTAAGAAGATATTCCACAACGCGATCATGACCGTAACGAGTAGCATACATCAAAGTAGTCCTTAATATGATCGAAGAAAAGCTTAGTTTTGAATTGTATAGTTCAAAATAAAAAATACAGAGGAAGATCCGGGAAGTACACACGTCATACCAGCCATTCACTGGGTCTGGGTTTTGCATATTAGTCTTTGCAATTAACCGTTTAACAAGATGAAGATTCCCTTCACAGGCAGCACGCCGTAGTCGTACTCGTGGGTCTTCAACTGGCATATTTAATAATAATATACTACGTAATCAACAGGGACTTTTTTGTAAATACAAGTTTTTTAAAAAAAATTTAAAAAATGTTTAAACGTTTAAATGTTCTTTTAACTTGTTTAAGTCCGAGCATTTAACTTGTTTGTGGCGGCTGTGTAACGAACAACAAAAGTAAATCAATTAAATCATTGGTTTAATATTACAAATTTCACACACAGCCATTAAAGTAAAGCATTAATAATTTCACACAATAAGCCGAATTTACAATCAATTCGGTTTTTTTTTTTTAAAAAAACTTTTAGACATGAGAATGATACTATTTACGTAAAACTGAACTACCTATCAAATATCAATCTATCGTTTTATGCCGTATTAATTTGTAAATTTTTCCGGTGATTTTGTGCGCGGATTTTTTATATAAAATACGACTTGTTAACAGCCGAGCACACCAAAGTATCACTGCAATCCATAAAGTCATTACGTCTTCAAAGGTAGGTTCATCGGAAGTTTCTGGAACATGTTCTAAATAAATAAATAAATAAATAAAAAAAAAAAAGAAAATATATATATATATTTTTTTATTATTATTAAACACGTTTCGTTTTAGTTTCAATTTTTTCGTTTCAATTTTAAAATATTGTTTCATTTCCGTTTCAAAATTACTTGCCTATTTCTACAAAAATCTCCGTAAATTCTTCATTTTCTTTATCATAAACAACATTAAGAAATTCCTTTAATGGATCAACATAATTCAATTCAACTTTATGAGCCACCGCTTTCAATGCCACTATGTTTGGTAAATGATTTTCGCTAGAATCCAATTTTACAGTATGTCTAAGAAAAGAATAAAATCGCTTTACGCCAATTAATTCTTTTTGAATTTGACCAACATGTGCCACATATAATCCATCAACACTAGTAAATTTATAAATTGGACAATAACGTTGATGTTCTTTTGATAAATGAATGATTACTTCTTTATCTTTTGTTGGACTAATGAGTGTTAAGATTGCATTCTGAGTTGCATACGGTTCAAGTGACTTTCCTATATACGAAAGATAGCGTGCAACTAAAAAGAAACATACATTTTTTTGTTTAAAATTTTTGATTAAAAATATTACATAGTTACTTATTATATATACAAATATTTATAGTTGACCTACCTCGAAGACATGCAAGACGATAATATTTTCGTGCAGAGTTATGAATTTCATTGGTAAAATGAGGATCCATGTTCAAAGCTGTAGAATAAGACGTTTCACTTATAAAGGAAAATTTCGAGATTATATATACAATCAATTTGTGGGAATTTCATATTTATAGTTATTTTATAGTATTTATATGTTTTTATTGACAATTTGACATATTGAATGTTTCCTAATGAAGTAGATACCTGTCATTCCTGAATTTAAGTTTTGCGTGCAGATTTCAGGTGCTCTGCGATCGTTGATAATGATACTTATTATTTTATATTTTTTATTACTGTATTGCTTGCTGTATTGCTGTATTGATTTATTGATATCAATAAAAAAAAACGATAGTCGAATGATATCAAACTTTATCATGATTTTACTGATAGGAATACTTTGCCTAAAAACCTCTTTCAAACCTTAATTTTAAGTTTTTTTTTCTAATCACAAGCTTTTTTTAAATATTGATATATATTACTCTAAAAATTTAATTATTCTCAATATATATATATTTACCGTTACAGTATATAGATTTGTGATTTAGCCCATTTACCGGCCAACCTGTTATAACTCCGAAGTCCGGATTAATAATAGCCAATCAAAAAAAAAAAAAAAAAAC